GAAATGCAAAACTTGTGGGTACCTGATGGAGAAACTATAGTCGCCGACGATCTCTACCAGTTCAATCTTGCCTGCAGGCAGTGCAGTGTTCGCACCATCTTGTACGCACCGGAAGCTACAATCAATGTAGTCAGGATGTTCGATAACCTGCAGGCCAATCATTGAGCTGAAGATTGCCTTGCGCGACGACGTTTACACTGGTGACAGGTGGGTGGCTCAGAAAATGTTCGCATGTGGCATGGAAGCAGTCAGGCCAGCCATCAGCTATCAGGAAGCAGAGCAGGCAGTGCTCTCCTCAAGCCTGCATGAGATCTCGCCGCTCATATTCTTGTTCGTGATCTCTGCCCTGCAAGGTCACGATGCCTGGTGCGCAGCCCTCGCTAGGCACCTGACACTGTGTCACCTTGTGCCTTGCACATCAGTGCAGATAGCGATGGCAATGTTGTGGCAGGTGCCATCTGTGCCCACCTTGACAACTTTGAAGCTGCACTCAAACCAGTGCTTTCCATGCATGAAGTTTGAATGTCTTCTGAGTCTTGTGCTTGATTATTTCATTACGAGATCCGACGGCAAGTTTGCTTACTCCTCAGGTACCTCGATTGGGGAACTTCTGGGTGAGTCCCAGATGAAGGATTTCCTGGTCGGGCGGGTTTTCGGAGCTCATTTCGACGCAATGGCCGTCATTGGTTTTAGTCACGGAGATGGTTGAGTCCAATTTTGAAGCTGCGAATTGCTAATACGGCAGTTTGGTTGTGTCACCAGTTTTCAACAGCTCCGCCAAAGTCGCGCACCCAGTCAAGCTGGATCTCTGAAGTTGTACATAGCTGCACATCCGTGCACGAGCAGCCGAGAGGGCCGAAGGAATGATCCTCGGAGTGTCGCAGGCAAGTCATCAGAAGGTTTCCCTTTTTCGGTTCTGGCGTGATGCTAGGCTGCTAGGGGGCAGATTCCTAGAAGAGGATGGGGGAGGGACCAGGGAGTCGGCCGCTTTGTGCTCGGCTCAGAGCCCACGGGCCATGCTCCGCTCAGGTCATGAGCTCCAAGAGTTACGTCTTGAACAGTAAGGGAGTGTCCGCGACGAAGTGCAGTCTTGACATGCTGTGAGACGGACACGGTTACAAAGCAGGATTGCAGACCCAAAGAAGCCAGACACAAGGGAGGCGTTGCCCACGTCCAACTTCAGCGCTGCCTGAGGCCTGCCTGATCAACTGGGGTTTTCGGTGGCCCTGTACAAGACGATGCTTAGGAGGTAGGAACAACATGAGTGCAGCCCTTCGCAGAACCTGGCTGTCTGGGCAAAAGTAGTGGGGCTCACGGCAGTGCAAGGACTCCCTCCACGAATGCTCACTGAATTTCTCTGCGAAAATCCATCTCTGAGCCACCTTGCGCCTTCGAGCGAATGTCCAAACCTGTTCATGTAGAGGCTGCAACGTAACATAAAAGTTGGCAAGGCTGACAAGCTGACGGTAGACCAGCAAGGGAAGCCCGGAGCTCTCCAGAGGCGATTCAATCCCGGGCTGCACATGCCCAAGAAGAGAAAGCTCGTCCCGCAAGATGGGCCGTGCGGACCCTGGCATGCGAAACGACTCAGCGCTCGTTGTTTGTTCGCCTTCCCAGCCCAATACAGATGCCCTTTGATACATGTTTCATCCTTTGGTTTCTCCTTCCTTCTATTTTTTGTTGCTATCTGGCCATCATGGACAAAAGCAAGTACAGCTGCCACACGAAACATAGCCAAGCCCCGGTTGCCTTCATTTGTCACCCTTTGAATCTCCAATGCTTCCTTGCTTGATTGTGTGCCGAGAAGGCTCCGATGCCGCTCCCCAACCCAAGTCTTCCTCTCGGGCTGGCAACCCGAGGGCTTCCGGTGCTCCCAAGACGCCGTCGAAGGAACGTCTAGGCTGCTCTGGGCCCGTCATATCCGATCCCCACAGGAAAGTGCATTTGTTGTTTTCTAAGAGCTGTCGCTGCATTGTTGTCGTGTCTGGAATTTTTGGACAGAGAGCTACAGCGGCGTTGGGCCACTACGTGCATCACCGATTGAGGCCAGATGCGTCCACTGCGGAGATTACTGAGCTGTTGGCCCCCGCTAAGCGGTTTGTTTCCCAGTTTTCAGGTGTGACCACGTCCGACAGCATGCTGTTGTCCAGCTGCAAGGAACGCGTTGTTTTGCATTTGTCAAACGCCGCTGAGATCTGCGTTGACTGCACAGAGAAGACCGGAAGCGAAGTCTGCAGCCAAGCAAGACGCCATGGGAGGTTTTGTGTTTTGTTTGCCCGTGTTACGAGGACAGTGCGCAAAGCGAAACCCAAAGCAAAGAGCGCGCCAATCGCAGCAGCCAAGTCGGCGCCGGTGCCGTCGCCGCCACCAGTTCAGAAGGACCGCCCGGCTCGCTCTGTGAACACGTTTCGTACGAGCCCAATGGCTGGCTATGGCTGGCTTTCGATCGTTCCCGACAAACTGCAGAAGGCAAGCTACGATGGAGCCGCGCTGGCATTGGAGTTGTTGGAGGCGTTTGACAGTGTACTATAGCGCATGTACCGGCTATACCTCGCTGCCATGAGCGGAATTGCCACCAGGCTGCAACCACGCAACTGCTAAGGCGCCCGATCCTCGGGTAACGCATGTGCTGTCTTTGCCTCGTTTTCACTTCGAGGCTCACCCCCTTTGCACCTTGCTCGTTCATAGCAACAGCTTCTAGAATGATGCGCTCTGGATGTTGTGATGTTGAACAGCCCTGAAGTTCGACTTTGTTGTGGCCAGACCGGATGCCAAGCCGCCAAACCAGACCGCTAGCATCAACTCACTTCACCGCCCTCGTAAAAGATTCTTGTAGGTTTGTTCAGACGAGGGGGATAGACCCGGATCGACTCCTTTGTCGCAGCAGTAGCCAGAATCTACATGGCTTCTTGAAGACCCAACCAGCAGCGTTCAAGGTGATTTGCACTTGTCGAGCACAACTCAAGCAGAGACCATAGATAAGACCAAAAAGCATCAGCAACACAAGCCGAAAGACACCCATTTGGGTCGCATATCGCTAGACTCTGCCCCCTGGGCGAAAAAGTATTCGCTTCCCAAAGTATTCGCTTCCCACGTGGTTTGATTTCACTGAAGGGCCTCGTATTGGTTCCACCTCTTTGCTGTCCTGTCATGTCCTGTCGAGTTTGTGCAGCAGCTTGCCCCCCCCCCCCAACTGAAAGCATCAAGTTCTTGATATCGCCGCATCGAGCATGATTTCTTCAATGTTTCCAACATCGTTTCCTGTAGACGTGAAGAGTTGGCGGCATTCCGCTGTGTGTCCTGCAACCAGCCTACAGCTAGGGCGGTCTCGCGCTCGAAGGCAGAGGCTGGTTTCGTGATGTGCGTTTGAGACGGTCCGCTGATGCCATGCCCTCAGAGTTAATTTCGTTAAAGTGCAGGGCTTCTCTCGCGTCCGAATCTTGTTTTAAGATTCGACTGGGCAGACGGAAGGGGTCACGAAGCCAAGCCCTGCAGACAACCAACTGACTCAAGACACCCAAGTGCTATTGCAATCAAGCCGGATTCAAGTTCGGTTTGTTGTTTCGTATGTATGTATCTGTCTATGTACTTACCTAAATCAATCAAACCAATCAATCAATCTCTTATTTAATCAAACAACCAATCTATCTATCTTTCTTTCTGTCTAT